GGGGGACACCACTCTCGACCATAGCAGGATCTGATTTTCCCCGACCGATGCACAAGACCTGGTGTCGACCCAAAACGATGTTTTCGATCCTTGTAAGGAAGTTGCCACTGATCCCTTTTTTTAGTTTATGTAAGAGCCTCTGGTGTGGCACAGTGTCGAACGCCTTCTGGAAGTCGATGAAGGCAATGTGGACCGCGTGCCTGTCTTGACAGTGTTTGTAATTTGGTTGATTACTGCAATGATTTTGTAGACTATACTACGACGATTTAGGAGCTGCTGGGTGAGTGAAGTCCAATCCTTAAACTTATACCGACAGCGAGGCATGATTAAGCGCTTGGCTATCATTAATTTTGTACTGGACGAATGGTCTTGTTGGCACACACAATGCACAGAACGCAAGTCATCCCTACAACGAAGTGAAGGACGATATTCTTGGGCTGGTTTTTTTGATCGCTTCTGAGGTTCCCCTCGACTATCTAAATGAGTCCTTGAAGAAGCACACCAAGGTGCACAACCTAATTGTAATGGCGGTGCTCATGCGAAAGGAATGAATGTGTTCCGTCACGCTCACTAGTGATTTCCAGTACCGCATTGTGCTGTGTCATCCAATCACCAGGTCCTTCTAACCTGTCGCATATATCCTGCACCATCTCGGTCATTTTGTCTTTACTTCTTCTTTCACCTCCTAAACTGGATGCATATGATGCAGCGCCAGTAATTTCCCACAATAAAAGACTTTTCGACGTCGTGCAGAGCCGGACAATGTTCCCTAAAACCGTCGGGGTTTTGCATCAACCCACTAAGTGGGTGTACGGAAGACAGCTGTGGCCTTACTCGATAAAGGCTTCCAAGGAACCATTTTCTTGTTAGTCAGAAGTGCTCCGTAACTTTCTGAAAAGTTTCCCACTACTGGCTTGACAATGCCCGTCAGTCGATCCCCACATTTGCTACTAGTTTAACATCAAAATATTCGCATAACTGTGACTTCGTGGAAATGTGCTGCTTAAATTTATTTAAAAAGTTGCAAATTTAGATGAAGGTCAAGTTCTTGCCTGGCTGATTTTTAAAATGTGGATCTTTCAAGATATTTCCGTCAGGATGATTTCTACACCCGTGGTGGAAACACATAATATTTTCATTGATATTTTGACAGATTTTGAATAATTCGTATTGACCCAACTGCGAAAAACTCGGCGCCTCGGTGGGGTTCGAACCCACGTAGTAAGGGGAAGGCTTTAGCGCAGCCACCGCTCTAACCACCTGAGCTACGAGGCCATTACATGTCGTATACGTACTTGGAAATTTATTGGCCATGGCCCGTGTCATGACTGTTGTTGTCGTTTTAGCATCGAAAATCGATAGTTAGCTGGACTTTGGAAAGCCTAACGTATGTCGATAGAAACGGAAAACGTAGTTAAAAGTAAATAATGTCCCTATAACTTCAGTAGGGAATCTGAGAGAATTAAGAGGCATAGGGGATTCACCTACTTAGAATACGCATTAGCACAGGTTGGTGTTCAGACATCGTGTAATAGCAGTTTATCAATGGAAGACCATCAGCCAAAAAGATTCTGCAGTCTCCAAATGTTGACTCTGCCAAAACAATGATTACAGCAGGAATTTGAAAGCGTTTTTTTAGAAACAGCAAGTCCCCGGAGAATTTCTGGTCTAGGTAGAATAGCATAACTAACAGAGACCAAAGAGACTGAAATAGTTATGCCTAATAATAATTGTTATTAAAGACCCGTCGGGGTCCCACTAAAGCCTAACTTATAAACCTTAGTCAGTCAGCCATATCCAACCCCAGAAGTTCGGCCTGTTGGTTAGAAGTCCACCGCCACTAACCACCGAGTCACGGGATCGTTGTCCTATGGGTTGCGATTGGGTATATACTTCTTTGAACTGGCAACCACAACGAGCCTCCGAGGTCATCCACTAAAACTAAGTTTGACTGGCGCCAGGCTGGATATGCCAAAGTTCTTCTTTTCCAACGTGGTGGTCGAGGCTTGGGATGCACTGCCTGCAGACGTCGTCATGTCCACATCCGTCGATGCTTGTAAGCGTAAGCTGAACCAGTATACCGCTAAACATCATAATGTCACCTGGCCGATTTCGCCTTAAAGTTCGGTATGGTTCTTATATTACTGTCTGTATATCAGTAAACTCTGTTTATTTATTTTACTATCCCAATTCCATTGAATGTGAGCATTGGCATTTAATTAGTTTCCCATAGAAAATGAGATCGTACCAATAATCTACAGCACAAATATGCGTAGACTGACTACTGTACGGCACATTAAGTAATTTCAATGTTACTAACACTAGGAGCAATTCGTTTATCTGACCAGTTCCGAAACATTTCTGGAGCTGTTTGAAGTTACCATTTTCAATTTATTGATATAACTAACTTGCTTGCAACAGATAGGGGGTTCAAAATTTCGCCATCTACGTTTTCCTCAAACAAACTGAAGCGAACTGAATGGTGAGAGGAATCTCACTGATGGCGCTAATGAACTCACTTTTAGCGTTGTGCCTTGCGGCTCTCTCTTGAACTCCGCCAGCAGCTGTACAGCGACGCGTGATAAATACAGAATACCTTTACCGAAAGTATAAAAATATGGGGTACCATTCGAAGTAAAGTTGACGAAGCGTGATTGCAGACAAACCTAGACCGAATCAAGCAATGGTCGAAAGACTGGCTTTTGTCATTTAACATGTACAAGTGTAATTTCCGACGATTCGGTGGGACCAGTTCTCCCAACTGCATGGTCTACCACCTGACTGGCAAAGCATTACAAGAGGTCGGTGCCTAGAAGGACTTAGATGTGTGGATCATAACCTCGCTCAAGCCTTCGCTGCACTGCTCAAAGTTAGCCAAGTCGGCGATGTCCATCATATACCTCGTCAAACGGGCATTCTTTTCCGTTGATAAAGACTGCTTCGCAAGAGCCTTTCGAACTTTTGTGCTCCCGCATATGGAATTCGCTATCCAAGCATGGAGACCCCGAACCACTAAAGGCCTTAGCGTACTCCGAAAAGTTCGACGGTGGACAACGAAACATATAAATGTACAGGGTCACTACCGTACGAAACGTGATTAACTAGTGTTGATATCTTTCCTCAGAGTTACAGGCAGCTACGTGATGACCTAATACAGGCTTTCCGCATCCTGCGCAATCAGGACTGCTGCCTTGTATCAAGAGACTTCTTCGAGTTTCGACCACGACTAACCTGAGAGGTCATCCCCTCAAATTACATGTGACTTTGCCCGACTAGACACAAGGAAGTTCTTCTCCAACAGAGTGGATGCAGCTAGAAATGCTTTGCCTTAGGACGTTATGTCTGGATCCGTGGGAACGTTTAAAAGGAGAGTGGGTCAACATTGCAATGCGTGCCACAATGCCCCCGGACCGCAGCCGTCTTGATAGCCAACGCCAACATTTTACTACTATCCCAATACTACTACCACCATTTAAGTAAAATTTATTCATGTAATTTAATTTTCGAACCACGGCGCATTGATCGCATTCACCAAGATGCTTGCAGACTACAAATCTTATTATTTTTCATGTAGCTCAGATGCGTTTCGAATATCTACTCTACTAATTACCAAAACTGGTGCAAATCTGTTCAAATAACGCTAACGAATGAACTACTGTGTTCACCTGTACAATTTTTGATATTCGCCTTGCATTTCTTCCATGTTACTCCCTTTCCACTTTTCCACCTACTTCCTCTGCATGTAGCAAATAGGGATTTCAGAGGAACGCACCTGCTTTCCTTCAAACGAACTGAACTGAAGGGATCAGAACCTATTGTGGATAGCTCGGCTCATGCACTCGGGATTGTTGCTCTAAATCAAGCACCGCTTCCCACTTGGAGCGACACAGAAGGGATCAGTTCAATACCTGTCTCGGAAACGTTCGTCGATATCTCAAAAATAACAAAAATTACAGTGACTCCCAAAAGAAAGCAACTGCGAGATTAGGCTTGCCGGAGGTAAAGGTGACAGCCAGAAAGGAAACCAGACTGTCATTAAGCATACTAGGTTAGATATATAAATTACTAAGAAGTCGACACTTCTATCCCTAAAAATGGGGATAAATTGGTATGTTCTGCTTGTCGCAGAAAAACCACAATGTTGCATGATTGCCGTTTACGCGACCACGGCTGCTGTAAAAAGGCGCTGGTGGGAATAAGTGTTTTTCAGCACTTTTCGATCTGCATGCAATGACGCGCTAGGAAATGATATCTGCGTCCACTGTGCCCTCCAGTGCCTTTATTGAGCGCATGACTGGCTCTGGGAACTGGCCATTGTAGCTTTACCCTCCCATAAAAACGGGCACATATTCATGTATTCTAGTAAAGTCAAAACATCCACTAATGTAGCAAATACTGAATAAAAATGTTCCAGTCTTGGGTATTAGTATTTACTCAAATATCGTATCATATTGGACCTTTCTTAGGATGCTTTTGAGATGTGTGCGGAAGCTATTTGCGATGCCCTATATCAGAGACGGCTTTCTAAGGGCATCGACCACTGCGGGCTGAGACAATGAACAACTATGATTCATAATCATGGCAAATCTTCCGATGTTATGCAATAAGATACCAAAATGGTGGATTCTTTAAACATTTACTAGTAGAAAGCGAAGGCGGCCGTTGAGTGTAATGCAGCGCAAAGAAGCGGTAATCAGTTTGACAAAAGCGAGAGGACAAGTAAAACCCCGGTCCAGAGCAGTATTGAGCAATATTCGCATTCGATTTTTGGTGTCATGAGCAAACCACCGTGGTGTGCTCTTATTGAGGGGGAACTATCGGGAGCACCACAGTTCAAAAACAGAATAGTAAGAAGTTTACTGCTTATATATAACCTGGTCGGAAGAGCTTAGATCGAATTTAGAAAGACGAACAAACTGCAAACATTTATTGAAACAAAATCCACTTATGGACATTGGACGCAGGTGTTATGCGATGGAATTCGTAATGTTCTGAAACCGTTATTTCTCCAGTATGCGGAAGAAAAAGTCGATCTAAAAGAATAAGAAAAAGCAAAAATCCCTGATGCATGTCAACGCAAACGATTTTAAGTGTAAGTGTAAGTGAAGGCAATAAACAGTACAAGTCTCGTCTCCAAAACCTCTCAAAGGCACACCAACGAATTGGCGAGATAAACTATTCCACAATTATGTTAAAGCATGCGCTAAGGCATCGAGTAGAGCCCGAATAATCTGTTGATGTTTTTCCCATATCACAGTTGTTGGTCGACCAGTGTTGACCTACAGACGTCCTAACAGACTAATCGATTGTGTGTACGAGTCGAAAAATGCAACTGCAGCGTTTCGACAGTCGATTTCGACAATGTCCACCGCGCGCTTCACAACAGGCTGGAAGCAGGCGCGGTGACGTGCGTGTGGATTAGTTTATTAGTCTGCTGTCATGATAGAGTGAAGAAGACTGAAGGTAGCAGAGGATTCCGGCGGCTGGCACGACGAAAATCCGCGCCTAAGCGTACCACCACGCTGTTCGGTCTATAGGAAACGCTTACGTACGGTATTTGAGCACAAGAACAAGAGGGTAGGGCAGCGACGCGAATCCCAGTTTCCATGGCATGGGCCTGCGTGTCACTACATCTTGTCATACACCACCTGGTCAGAGCCTACAAGTGGCCAGGATTTGCGTATATCATGTAGGGTGCGGCAGAGATCTCAAGTGTAGCTGAGAAGCCACATGGTGAGGAGCCGAAGGACTTACCTCTCACTTACGTGAGAGGTGTCGGTGCTGGGCGGCGATAGGGGAGAGTTTGTATGATGTACGCATTGGTGGGGAGAATGTGTAATGATGTGATCAAGTCTGTGGTGCATCACCGAAGATTTTCGTGGAGGAGCATGTGGCCAGATAGGCCCATGCGGTGAATGAATGCAACTACTAACACAGGTACATGCACGTGTCTAACTGTTACTTGTATTCATTGACGAGACTCTGGCATCACCTTTGAAAACAAATTATGTAATTCGCCAATCGAACAAGTATCCCGTGTATAAGAACATTAATTAGAGTACTGAGATGATAAAGGAAAATGTGATTTCAGTTCTTGTGAAAATAACCATGTACCGGGACGAAGTGATTTGCATGTAAGTTGCATGTAACTATTTGCCTACTAGTGTTTTTTGGAAGTACGTATGATGTGGAACTCGGCAGAAGATTTCGGAATTTGACAAAAGTGGGTTCAGTATTTGTCGGTAGGGACTAAAAGGTGTCTCAGTTTGGAGCCGCAAGGGAGCATTATTTTGTGAAAATGACTAGAAAAACATCTGGTATGTATGGAACATACCCAGTTTGACAGCCACCGCCATATCTAGAGGCGCATACGCTTGCTAAACATTTCGGAGTACTCGTCTTTACGACCATTTAACCTAGTATTGAGTTAACCAGTAAAATTGTTGACCGAGATATCCACTAAGTACGCGAGTAGGAAAAGATGGTAGGCATCGCACCTGCGATCATGAGTTGTTTGCGCTGCAGCCGAGCTAAAGGCGGAATTTTAGTATGAGTCTGTTTCAACAACGAACACTATTTAACGAGACATTAGGGCTCGACGATGACTCTTTTTGATGATATACAGCTTAGCTATGCTTATAGATTGACCTTTCGAATATTAAAATGGTTTCATATTTTTGGTGCCCTCACGATTCAGGGAGCCAAAAGCAGCAGAATCACTGGAAATATACTGTTGTAGAGGGTACAAACCTGACCTTCTAAACTAAAAATATAGCTAGTTCTTTGGAGTCCAACATTCTGCATGTGATTAGACGTCAGTAAGTCAGAATGCCTACTGTAGAACTGATACATCTTTAAACAGTTAACATGCATAAGCCTGGGTAGTCTGGTCACGCCTAAATAAGACCTGGGCGTGCCTCAACTACAGAACTCCGGCGAGAGCCTTTTTTGCTTGCTATTAAATGGAAGGAGAGCATGGTTGACTTGTGTTCCGATTTGACATAATGTTTGGTGGTAGGGGGTGCTCACCGATCGTTCTTACGGAAATCAATCGCTCCGTTGTGCCTTACGGGCTCTCTCTCGAGCCCAACCGGCAGCCGCACAGCGCGCATGATATAGACAGAATGGCATTAACGACAAAGAAAAGGGAGACTGGAATGGTCAGTTCTGGCTTATTAGCCGTAATCAGCCAACCATACCTAACCCCGAAGTGTGGACCACCCGAGGCTCGAACTCGCGACCCGTTAGTTAGAAGTCCACGCCTCTAACCACTGGACCACGGGTTTGGTCCAAAGACCAACGAGAGTAAAACAGAAGTTGTGAAAATCCCCATAACAATGTTCAGAAGAGACAGTGGCGAGCGAACGTTCCTTTCGGTAACTTCTCGTCAGGCCAATAAAGTTAAATGGGATGGGGTTAGTTTTTTAAATTCCAGGCTGGGCAAGAGCGGAAGGGCGCAGAAAGTGGTATGTTGTTAGTCAACCTTTGACCACGGTAAGCGCGGAGCCTGAACAAGGTTCTTTTGGGCGCATAGGGTCGGTTTTCGTAAACTTATGGCGGCCGCTTCTGCTGTTGCTAACGGGCACTGACCCAGTAGCTTAGTGTAGCTCGAGGGGACCCTGTAAATCACACGAAATGCTTCAGCGGGGTCCACACGATGCCCTGAATCCACTGCATGCGCAAGGATGGCGCTGTCTATTCTCCTATTTCACCCTTTGCCAGCCATGCGGGAAGGTGCTCTCGTATTCTTTTGGAAAGGCGCCGACTCGTACGACCAATATAACCTGCTCCACAGGAGCAAGTGAATGAGTAGATGCACATTGAGGCGGCCTGAAGTGGCAGCCTATCCTTGCTTTCTCCGCGTAAAATAAGGTTAGTAGAAAATGATATGCGAACCCTTGCTGCTGGAAAATTTCCCGAGACAGCTTGGTCAAGGCGTCTTCTTAGGAGTTCCCTTGCAGCGTCTCCTTGGAGGGGGACTTTGAGGAACAACGTTTTCTTGTCAGCAGTCCGTGTGGTGGGTTTTGCGCGTCGTTCGTCAAGGTTCTTTGCAATGAATCTGTCAGGGTACCCGTTTTCGCGAAACAAGTTCTAGATTTTTCTAAGTTCATCCTCGATACTATCTGTTGAACAAATTTTTCTAGCCCTTTGTGCCAAACACCTGACTAGATTCCGTTTTTGTTGGAGAGGTACAAAACTAGCGAAGTTCGTGTATTGTCCAGACCAGGTTTTCTTCCGAGAGACGCTCCTTCGGATGCTACTGTCAGATCTCCCGTTTAGAAGGCCATTTAGAAAAGGAAGCGAACCAGCCGATTCCATCTCCAATGCGAAATTGATCGACAGATGTGCCTGATTTACAGCATTTAGGAGGGCAGCGACGTCGGTTTCTGTGGTTGCAATCGCAAAGATATCATCAACGCAGCGACCATAATGTTCGAGATTTTTGATCCGATCGCTTAGTTGAAATCTTTCCAGCTTGCCCATGAAGACGTCGGCAAAGAGAGGTCCAAGAGGCAAGCCCATGGCAACGCCGTCTATTTGTCTATAGAGTTGGTTGTCAAAAAGGAACTGCACATTTAATGTGCATCTTACTAATAGTTCCTTGAGTGTTTTCGTCAGTATTCCTATTTCTTGATGACTGGCAGATAGAAAATCACAGATGTAATCAACTGTCTCGGTGACCGGGACGTTTGTAAAAAGTGATGCGACGTCTAGTGAGAACAGCATTATGCCGTTAAGGTTGAGGTCTTTAATGTCGTCAATGAATTGAAAGGTATCTCGATAGCTGCGTGGTGCCAGCTGATGTTGTGTGGACCACAAAGAGCTAGAAAAATTTGTTCAACAGATAGCATCGAGGAGGAACTTAGAAAAATCCAGGACTTGCATGAAAAATAAATAATTGAGTAAAAATTGTAAACTTAGCATTTCTGAAAGCATAAGTGTAACCGCGTGACCAATGTGCCCAAATCGTGTTTACATGAGCCCTGAAGGATGCTGGCCCAGAAGGTTATGCTGCATGACGCTGGATTACTCAATTTACTCCAAAATGAACTCTAATACGGTAGGTGCTGAGTAAAAAGTGAATGGAGGCGAGTTTCAAAAACCTGAAGTCAGAAGGCCGTCAGTCGGCAAAGAAATAAAATAACTAAGATTTGTTAACTAGACGCAGATCAGGATGTGATGAAGATAATAACCTTAAGAAACGGTCCATCCTGATGGCACTAGCCAGCGTGTAGATCATGAATGAGGAAGAGTGTATTTGCCTGCTCTTGTCCCAGGGCGGTCTGCCAGTACTTGCAAAGGAGCGTAAGTTGAGGTCCTTTTTGATATTCTTCAAAAACAGTTTTAAAGGTGGACAACAGAGACGAGACGCGTGTAAGCAACAGTCTGCTGACAGGCCCCTACTTTACGCGACCGAGATACAACTGCAGAACTCTACCGGCACATGTCCCACAGCATCCTTATAACGGGAAAGGTGGCAAAATAGCCTTCAGTAATTGATTGCAGATTCGAAGATGTCCCACTTCCGGCGCTCACTGTCTGACGACAGTGTGCTTGGCGCACCATAGCAAGTTTCTCGTCTGAAAATTAAGGAACATTGCTTGACGTTTTCAGTCAGTACGGCCAGTCGCAGCTGCCGATAGTGACCGACCGAATGCGGGGGTGATTAACCTAGAACTCTGACAGTCATTCATCGCTGTCATACTGAGTTGCCTATTCCAATTATCCTCTGTCACTTCAACGTAAAGTGCAATTGCAAAACACCAGTAACATGTACTTTGCAAGCAGGGTAAAAAGTAAATTTTGAGAATGAACTTAGATCGTGGGTATTCATAGTGGCACAGATAGCGGGATGGGCAAAGGTGGGCAGGCTGTGGGTTGGAGGAAAGTGGGGTTGAGGAAAGATTGTGTTTTCTAAAACACTGCTAAAAGGCGTCAGAGTAGTTTTCGCTTAGAGAGAGTTTGTATTTTAAACCACCCTGTCTGATAATAAGACTACTTTTTGTCTGGCTTAAAATCCCGAACATTTGCAAATCGAGTTTTCCTGGTGATAGGTGCCGAAGGTCAACTATGAACGACTGCATTCTTGGAGTATTATCCCTCGGAACATGAAGTAGTACTCAATTCAGATGACTACTTACCTCAATAGGGACATCATCGGGCAGGTCTGTACAATGAAGAGCGTTCTTGATCAAGTTTATCCCGAATCGTGCGCGAATAGTGTCAGGTTTCAAATACCTAGCGATTTCCTAAAACATAGCCAGACGTTGAGCATGAAATTCAACGTGGCAGCAGATATGAAAAGGAATGAGTTAATTTACTTATGCAGTGAAATTGTGAAAACGATATCATAAACGGGTTAGGCAATCCGCTTATAACCGCTTAAATTGAGAAGCTTACAACTTGTACAAAACGCTCGCAAAATCTGTAAGTCTTCGATACACATATGAACCAGAACGTACATCTTACTATAGATATTACCAGACAAAGAACAACGCGTGGGAATAATTTACGCTCAATATTTCAAACCTATAAAAACCCGACAGAATCGCGATCAGACACAACAAGGTATCAAAATAAAGACACTATGCTCTACCTACTCTGGAGAAAAAATAAAAATCATGCTGAAAACAAGTTGGCACAGTAGAATTTAATGAAATTAAGAAATTTCGCGACCCCTTTAAAGTGGACTTCTGTCGCCTCATTACGTTGCAAACGAGTACGTGCAGGTTTAAAATTCATATCTGAAAAATTGTTTAAAATCACATGTGCAATTTGAGTCCTATTTAAGCCGACTGGACCAGCAGATGTTAACAGAATACGGGAAGGGGTCTGGCAGCACTGTGTACCCAAAGTTGAGGGGTACGATAGGGTGACCATTCGCGATTGCCTTACGGCCGTCGATAGAAGATTTAGGACTTCATGCTGACAATACCTGATATTCGAGTGTCCTCCTTTAGGGTAAGTGAGGTCCAGGACTACAGATATACATCAATTACCCTCTGATCAGGCGGAAATAGTAATGTGCATTCCAAGAGAACTGACCTGGCAAAGTCGCCGACTCTAAAATATGGTACATCGTACATACCATGTGGCGTCTACGTGGTCTTGAAAATCTTCAAAAAATGTCGGACAAACAGTTTCGCGAAGATGAGTGAACAACAACACTGCCCAGGCCGTTTGCGACCGACCGTACTGCCTTTGTTACCAACCTCTCCGTTACTTAATTTCAAGTTGTGAGTTTCTTTGATGCACAAGACCTTGCAAAATAAATAACCAGATTCCGCCTTTTTATGTGCTGGCTTGGATAGAAATACACTAAGTACCGAAGCACGGAAACCATCAAACAGAGTCCTTAAGCGTGTTTTGAACAGCAAAACCGTAATCAGATGAAATCGGCCTAACGATAGCATGGAGCATGGTCTCTCGTTGGCACGTACACAACAAAATGTTGGTTGATCATTCAAGATTTCACCCTAACAATGAGTATCCTTCTGGACTAAAACTACAGATACAGTTTGTTAAACCTTCCATCGTTGTTGATGGCATACGCACAGAAGCTTAAAGTTCATAGATAGTGTCTTTCAAAAAAGTGTTCTGCGTTGACCCGTTAAAAACAGGCAACTTCGGAGAAATTAAGAAGCCAGCCTAGTGAAAACTTTCATAATTCATTGACGTAAAGAAGTCTGCCATGATTTAAAAAATCGTCAAGTAATGGAAATGAAATGATTTAAGATAATACATAACCCTGTCACCAGAAATCACAAAAATCAAGTATATTTACTTACTGGGTCCATAGGGCCCACAAATTCTCGAAATCGGTGTTGGACGGACTGTGGGTCGTCAGGTCCCCGGTTAGGATCAAAAGTTTCGGCATTATAGGAATTTGCAATTTGCATGGCGACACAAGGACCAGACGTGAATTCCTCGACAACTTCTGGGTACTCGGCAATGACACCTTTATAAACTTCAAGAAATTCAGCAGCATCCACTTTTGAAAGCCTGAACACTTGGGCAGCCACCACACAGAAGCCTTTCTCTTGAATGCTTGCCCAGATTTCACCCAAGTGACCTAGATGCAAAACGACAACATTCAGATTAACAGATGCCGCAAATAAAAGTTCAAACGAGAGACGGCAAATTACTGTCTAGCACTTGCTGAAGGACAGCATGAAATATTTTAGATTGTGGACGCTCATTTGGCTTCTTAACGGACAGAACAGTTCAAGAATATTTACTTCGTGACCTTATTCGTTTGCCAAACCTAGTTCCTTGGTGTGAAATTCCAAACAGTTTCTCATGTTTCCAAGGCTTCCTTTGAATTATTCGATTCACGAACCTGTGTCTGATTGGAAATAATTTTGGACTATTCAGGAGCGCAAATGTATTGTCGAAACTTTGGCGAATGCACTTGTTTTGTACAAGCACGTGTGTATATGACAAACCTCCCTGCTCTGCCCTTCCTGATAACTAGGCCACAGCACGACCGGAAGGGGACAAACTACTGTTTTGTGATGTCCCAGCGACAAGACATACAGAAAGCAAACTAGAAATTGTTATCTGTCAAAAGACCGTGAATACTCAGCATATGAATTATAAAAATAACTGCCTGGTTGAATAAGAACGCAAGCATAAAGTGCTGAAGTAAACAACAAACTAAATCCGAAAGAACCTCCATTTCAATGCCGTTTTACGGAGGACGATCACCTCCGGGCAAACTCGCCACGGAACCTCGACCAGGAATCCTGATCCGAAGTAAGACATGCCTCACCGTACAGCACAAACTGGCTAGAAGTAATAGAAGGTATTTAATCATGACTGGGCATGGCCATGGCAAATCATGGCACGGCAGCAATCTGCGACCGACTCCAGTGGTCCAAAATCAACAAAACTCAACTAGATAATCAATTTCCTCCCTCCACAACCTGTGTTATGGCTACTCCCCCAAATATACGGAATAGAAAAGAACAGGATTGGTGTGAGTTGGTTACCAACTAAAGCAAACCAACCGTCGCGCAGTAAACGCCTACTGTATCTTTAACTGCCCTAGTAGGCGTGTACTGGTCTTCAACGCCGCAAAAAACTGTACGCTACAGGAGTACTGGCCTTCATACGTTAAGCAAGTTAACCTTTCGATAGACATTTCTTCTTCGTAGCCATTATTATTCCGTAATCTGCACCGGAGACAGGATCAGGACTGCGAGTTTGGGAGACAGACTCAATGATAATAAACGGTAAGTTCCGCAATTTTTATACCACCTAACTATGAGCTCCGACGTTTACGCCGCCCGCCAAAGGGAATGGGCCTGGTCTACTTTTTTATTCTTTTAAAGGTACCAGACATTCTTACGTTTCTTCTTCTTCTTCTTCTTCTTCTTCTGAAACCTTCATACCCTTCAGCCTATTGCGCAGCAGGTTGTTAACATTGTTTCTAAGGGACGAAGCGTATGTCAGCAAAACAGGTGCCAGAACTGCTGTCGATCTTTAAGACCGGACTTTTAGCCCTGCAGACTAACTGGACCCCGAAAACTGCAACTTCAATAAAACCTCAAAACAGAATCGAGCAAGATGAATTAGCCGGAATATGCCCCACTTGCGGCAAGATCAGCATTCAAATAAATTGGCTCTTGTATTCAGGCGGTCCGAGGAATAATTCTTTTGACTGCAGAAGTCGGAGCACAGCCAACAGCCCACTCAGATTAAGGACGGTTGCGAACCTAATTCTAACAGCAACCGAAATAAAGGAACTAGCCCTTAGTAGCCCATTAGCTAGAACACTGAACATACCAAAAATGATCTGCATTGTTATGAACCATTTGCTGTAGACTTCTTACAACTTTGCTTCTGTCTTACACACGCAGCTATTTACGTTCGTTTTAATGGTGATATGTTCAACCATTTTCCGAGTTGGATGGATCACACTATGCTGAATAATATACATTCTAACTAAAGACCAGAGCCGAAAATCACCTTTTAGTAACGTTCAGAACAGGATGTACTACGAGTAATTGAATAATCTAGATAAAATATTCCGACTGTTTGTACAATTCCTCCTAAAAGCCGCCTATAAAATAACTAAAAGTGGGTATGTTTATGGTAAGCGACCTAGAGCCGTATATTCAAATTCAAAAATAAGTGAGGAAAATAATCTGAAAGCTGAAACGCTTAGTAGCTGCTAGACTACCTGTAGAAAACGCCTGCGAGTAGGGATATCAAAACTAGAAAGCAATAAAGCAAATTCAAAAGGCTTAATTCCATTTTCACTAATTTCCTGAGCTCCTTAAATCAAACGAACCGTCGTTAAGGGCATGTGGCTTCACAACAGCACAAGTACAGTCCAGAATATTGCCAATTAGACGGCTGGATTGTGAAGATGGAGTTGAAAAAAGGAGGTGGGCCTGTTTCGCTGCGGCCTCCGCATCATGCGCCAGCACAAAAATATCGGGGTTGGCAAATAGGTCAATTTGATCACCGGAAGTTTTGCCATAAACTATTTGGCGAAGAACGGCGTTTGCGTCTCTCCGCATCAATTCGAGCGCAATCATACCATGATCAGCCAGCGCGCTTGTAAGCTTACTGTAAGAGGAGCAAAGAAATAACCAGAGACGTGATGCTAGAAAACTGAAGGAATAAGTACACGAAAGACTCTGAATGCAGAAATGACTTACAAATTACGAATGTTGAATACTTCATGGGCAAATTTTGATAAGGTATATGGCATAGTTTAAAAATGAAGCAACATTAATGTTGCTTGTTAATTATTTTGTCATTGCGGAAATTCATCAGTCCATTATCCCGAAATCTGATTAGATCGTATAGTCAGATAATTAAGCTGCTAAAGAGAGTACCGTGGTGTTTCTTATAACTGTTGGTTGAAAATAAGACAATGTTGCTTCATCTGTAAACTTAAGTGACCAAAAGATAACTCGGATTTGTCCCAGTCAGTCGTGGCTTACGTTAATCTTGCAGAAATTGTAGTAAGATATGAAGGAAGTAGCACAGTCATTCTTCGCATAGAAAATGGAACAAAATTAAATGTTCAAAATATTTCGTACTTACTCCAGAAACTGGCATTCAACTTCGTTGGCGAAATATTTACGGACTTCCATGCTACTTAGATAGAGCATTTTGATGTTGATGACTTTAAAACCATTCTTCTCGAGGTCACCAATGTAGGTCCCGGCTTTACAAGTTCCCGAGGGGGAGATAATGCAAACACAGCTATTTAAGAAGTGGTAAAACAGGCCTTTAACTGTACCGTTCCGAATTCCCAGCCATAACTTTTGCCGTGAACTCATCCCCAAAATCTACGATACACAAGTGGCGAGCTAAAATATTAATCGAGCTTCCAATGAAAAGGTCGGATTCCTTCACAGTATCAACCTTAGTTCGCTTTAGGAAAAGTCTTCCTGCTTTTATATCGTGCTATTTTACTTCAAACATTCTCTGAGACTTACCATCTCAACAGAGTTATCACTGGGGAAGAATAGTAACTTATACTTTGTAATAAGACCAGATTCATCATTGTACCATTCAACTATGAAAGCATATTTTATTTCATCAGCCTTTAGAAAAGCTATACACAAGGAAAGGACCTGACCATGTGGTTGCAATAACTGCGGTGTATGCTATCCTTAATGGTAACTAGGACGTGGACCAGTAAAACAAATAATCAGACTAAAAACAGACAGAGAAAAGAAATATTTTATGTTTACATGCGCAGCACACTTAAAAACGACGATAGCTACATGGAGAACTTGCATAGTTAAAAAACGTACATATGTTACTGGCAGAAATAGAAGTCAGCCTCTACCAGGACCACGATTTCCTAGGATTAAACCGATGATATAACGGTCACTGCCCACTGACTGTCTGATTACAACTCAGCTTAGAGAAGGAACTCTGAATAATTTTTGATGCAAACCGATCAGCGTGAAATGTCAGCATGCAGCCTTTGAGTTTGGATTATTGTGTAAGAACACTAAAGAGATTATTCGGAAACAAAATATTCCCCATACGTCATTTTTCCTTTCCAAGTAGCTTAAGAAAACAAGCAGAAAAAAACACAGTATAAATAGGTGGGGTGAAAGCGAAGAATAAGAAGTACGGAACGCGAAATAGTGTGAATACATAAGAGCCGAGTCTTATTCGTTGTGTGTGCATATGCATGTACAAATTCATGTATACTGAGGAGCCGCTAAGTCAATACCAGGTCTGTGTGAATTTCTGTGAGCTGCTGATAGTGTCAACAGAGAAACCTATCAAAAATAAGAGTTACCGACGGATAAAACGGAATTGCTCTTCTTAACAGCCAAAATAATCCAATTATCCGTGTCTTCATGCAAAAATTAGCTTGCGAATGCTCGATGCTAAGAAGACCACTGACACCTAACAGAGAAAGAAAAAATGTGAGCAGGAAGTAATTTTTGATTAAATTTTGAAAGGATACAGTAGACGGATGTTTTTGTCACCGGGATTCGAGCCAGTGGTGCTTTTAATATGCAAAGTGGTTTTCAATATATAGCGTGAAAAGGAAGAAAACGAAGACGGAGATTATGAGGGAGAGAGGCCGAATACTGGAATTGACCATAGCATAAATAATGAAAGTAACGGCGTGCGGTATAGGAGAATGAAACTCACACGTATTTTGTTAATACATATCCCTACATGCAAGGGTTCATACAAGGTAAAACGTTTTGCTGGCCGATAAATTAGTAGACAGAACATGTCTTCTAAATAATGTTTTGCATACCACAACCAAGTCTCGGGCTCGTTGTCTTGTCGCTTGCGATCGGGAGAAGGAAATGGTAGATGGGCGTTCACCGATCGTTCTTCTACGGAAATCGCTCGTCCCACTGTGCCTTACTGGCTCTCTCTCGAGCCCAACCAGCAGCAAAGCAGCGGCGCATAAGATGGGCAGAATGTTATTACTGCCAAAGACAAGGGAGACTGGAATGGCCATTTCCGGCTTATTAGCCGTTGTCCGCCAGTCGTATCCAATCCCGAAGTGTGTAACACACGAGGCTCGAGCCCCACTGGTTAAGAATGAAGAAGATGGAAAAACAAGCTCTGGGGTTAGTGATTTATTCATCAGACGTTTCACACTCCTACTCGAGCGCATCATCGGAGATAGGAAATATGAGAACTGTACGGTTTAAATAGGTCCCTCTCGCCAGCCCCTTATAGGGTCATCAATTACTATCCTCATTGGGCCTCTCCTGATGCGCAAGTGGTATTTGGCGGCCTCGTAGGGTGCCGGTAGGTGGACGCTGCTGTTGATGGATTTGGCGTCTGTTTGCCAGGCCTCGATTATTTCTCGCGCCAGTCTGTGTTCCGTTCGGCCGAGCACTTGGGCGCCGTCAAAGTCAAGCCAATGGTCCTTTTCCAGACTGTGCATGGCAACGTGTGAGCGTGCATCTTTCAGCTTGACGGCTAAAGTGTGCTCAGGAATGCGCGTTTTAAGTCGTTTGTTTGTCATGCCGCAGTAGTTGGCCTGACAGTGTAGGCAGTTGACAGGGTAAATGACACCTGACATGTCCTCTATGGACAGCCTACCCCCAGGCTGCATGACTAATCGGCGGATAGTGGCGTCCGGTCGGTGTCCAACGCCCACGTGAAGTGGTCTTAGCATACACTCAGTGGCCTCAGAGACGTTCCTCATGTAGGGCATACAAGGAGTACCTGAGGTTTTGGTTCGCCTCACAGTCAGTCTTTATGTGTCTTTGGAACAGACAGTTGTTTACGAAGCTACGTGGGTGTCCATTGACAAGGATGAGGTGCCACAGGGGCGCACGCTCTTGTAGCTTCTCGGCCTCTGTGCTGCAGTGCGTGTTGACGCGGCGGAAAAGTGTCCGGACGCAAGTGCGTGTATGCGACAGGGGGTGGTTGGTGTTGTAATGGAGTATTTTCTCTGCGTTTGTAGCTTTTCGGAAAACACCGGTCTGGAGGGTTTCATCTTCCTGCCTCGTTAACCACATGCCAAGGAAAGAGAACGTTGCGTCCTTTTCTCCCTCCATTGTGAATTAAATTTGTGGGAAGATGGTGTTTAATTCTCCTCTTAAGCTGTAGGACGACGAAGGTATCGTCCACAAAGCGCATCCAGAATTTTGGCTTATAGGACCAGAATACACGAATTCTCAGTTCCGGCAATAACGCCTCAGCCAGGTAGCCGGAGATCGGGGATCCCATTGGGGTTCCCTGGAGTTGTTCATAAGTATGGTCGTTAAAAGTGAAATACGTCCATACTCAATCGCGTGCTTCCTTTTAAATGGTTTTTCTTCCTCGTCGTGCTTTTGTTCCAGTAGGTCACTGATTACTCTCATGGCCAACTCCTTAGGGATTGAGGTGAACAAAGAGACGGCGTCAAAGGATACCATGATTTCATTGGGGGCTATTGTCATGCCTCGGACTTTTTCCAGGAAGTGCGTTGAGGAGATGGCTGTATGTCCCTAGCCATCCGTCAGCTTCTTTAAGCACTTGGTCGGCCACTTAGCCAGTCCGTAGGTAGGTGTGGCTTTCCGCGCTACGATGGATCGTAGAGTGACATTTGGCTCAGGGATTTTTGGCAAACAGTAGAAACGCAATGGAGCGGTATCTTGCGGTCTCATTTGTCTCCAATCGTTTTCAGATATCACCTTTTGGCTCCTCGTCTGATTTAAGCACTTGTCGATTGTGTCTACCAGCGTTTTCATGGGGTCAGAGTCAACGACTCTGTAGGACTGGTTGTCGTTAAGTAGTTCCCAGGCTTTTGTGACGTACGCTGATCTGCCCAAGATCACGATTGCCCGTCGTTTGTCCGCAGGAACAATGAATATTTCATCGCCCGTCTTTAATTCATTAATGGTCTTTTATACGGCCGAGGAAATGGTTCGGCGGGGATTGTGGGATATTATGAGGGATGAGACTCGCTGGCGAATGGAGTTCTTGGAGTCTTCTATGGTATCCGCCTTTGCGAGTGTCGCTTTCAATGCCGCAATAAAATCTAGTGTCTGCGCGCCATCTGTGTTTTATACAGATTGGTGCTGAAGCACTTAAATCTGGCCGTCTGTCGGCTGTTTGGATAAGAGGTTGTGGACGGATGATGACACGAAGCGCTTCGCCGAGCACAGCAAAAACAACTGACTTCTAGACCGAGTCTGACAACGGACTCGGTATAGAAGTTAACTATGTTTGCACGTCCACTGCCTGACGACGAACTGGGGAACAAGTCACGAAAAATTTCACAATAGAGTTTACTTCTTGCAAAAGAATTTCATCGTCCTAATTACATTTCTTGGGATGCCTGTTCTCAAATATATATATATATATATATATATATATATATTTGAAATCAAATACGTTCTTTGGAAAGGGAAAAAACTGTATTGAGTAAATGTTCGACGTCGCTTTCCCGTGTCGTCGTCAGATTAGAGTAAATTTGCAGAAAACAATTAACATTTCAAACGTGCTACAAAATCAATACTCATTTGGTGCCTCAGCTAGTAAGCTGCCATCGTATGTGTGAGTCCGTATTGATCGGCTTTCGTCTCTTCCACTTTTCTCTGAGATTTGTGTACGTGGCATCTAACTCGATATGCCCGTTGATGCATGACTCATCGGAATGCATGACTTCAAGCAACTCTCGGCCTTTTTTAGATGGACAAACTCCGACGATGCGCGTTTTGTCCCATGAAACAGTGCGCCCAGTATCAAGAGTGTGCATGGCCATTTGAGACAAGTGGTCTCGCCTCTTAAGTGCAAGTTGATGTTCGTGGATGCGTGTAGAGGCAGATTTTCCCGTTTGGCCACAATATACGGCATCACAGGCCCTCAATAAAGCTGTCTCCTTTTTCAAAAGAACGTATTTGATTTCAAATATATATATATATATATATATATCAGCGAGGAGGGACGACAGAGAATGCGGGTAGATTGATACAGCACTGTTTCGGGCTTATTCTGCCTTCATTCAGCCAATCATAACCCTGACCACCAGCAGCTGGGACCAGAAACACAAACATGCGCACAGACGCACCTGGCGCAGTCGGTCCACCACTGAGGCCTACCAGATGGGTCATAAGCACTTCATCGAACCGAAGTTCATCAGTGCCTCGCCACCTGTCATCCCCTGTCGCTGCAGATCGGGTATTTATCAATCAGGAATTGGCGCACACCGATCTATTGGCTTCACAAAGCAAACAAGCTCCGTATGTGTGGCAAAGGTCACGAACAGGCAACCAGGTAACAACAACCAGGTAAGCGACAAGGCAACGGGCTCGTGGCCCGGTGAGTAGAGGCGTTGACTTCTAAACCAACAGGTCGCGAGTTCGAGGCTCGGGTGTTCCACACTTCGGGCTGGGGTATGGCTGGCTGACGACGGCTAATAAGCCAGAAATGGCCATTCCAGTCTCCCTTGTCGGTAATACTATTCTGCCTATATATATATATATATATATATATATATATATATATATATATATACATCAGATAGGAGACGACAGGGTTTGGGGGTGGATTGATACAGCACTCTTTGCTGGCTTGTCAATCATAACACAGACCGCCAGCTGGGACCGAAAACGCAAACATGCACACAGAGAAACCTTGCGGCGCTGGTCCACCACTGGG